ATCCTATCCTATCCTATCCTATCCTATCCTATCCTATCCTATCCTATTTATTCTGGCTTCTATTCTATTCTATTCTATTCTATTCTATTCTATTCTATTCTATTCTATTCTATTCTATTCTATTCTATTCTATTCCATTCCATTCCATTCCATTCCATTCCATTCCATTCCATTCCATTCCATTCCCTATTCTGTTCTATTTTATATTCTATTCCTCATTCTATTCCTCATTCTATTCCTCATTCTATTCCTCATTCTATTCCTTATTCTATTCCATTCCATTCCATTCCATTTCCTTCCTTCCTTATTCTTTCTCTATTTTATTCTGTTCTTCATTCCAGTATCTGTTTTATTCTGTTCTGTCCTATCAGGCACCCCCAACCCTCTGGCTGTGGCCTGCCTGGTGCTGGGCCCTGACCCATTCAGAACCAGCCGTGCAAGTGTCAAGCGAGCATGCGCACCCAGCTCCAGTTGCATTAGCTCTGGGCACACCTGTGCACAAGTGCCCGCCATTCTCGTAAATGGAGTTATACGGCCAGTGGTGGGATTCAGATTTTTTCTACTACCGGTTCTGTGGGTCTGGCTTGGTGGGCATGGCAGGGGAAGGATAAAATCTCCAGTCAGGGATGGTATTTGCCAGTTCTCTGAACTACTCAAAATTTCCACTACCGGTTCTCCAGAACTGGTCAGAACTGGCTGAATACTCACCTCTGCTGCTCACACGGGATCATTCTTGGCTTTCACGCTGCTGCATTTCCGAGGACTGCAGGCAGCTTCCAAATATCTACGGAGATTCTCCGTCATCCAGGCCATGGCTGTCCCAAAAGGTGCTTTTTCAAGAGGCAACTGGACTCCCCTTGGTTTTTCCTCTAAGACGTTTCGCTTGAAAGGACCATGTTGTAGTCTGGAGATAGATGATGTCCTATCCCTCCCTCTCTGTTTTGACATAGGGGGCCTCTTGGGCTCCTCTTTCAAACCAGCGGTCCTCTCTGTCCAAAATGTGGACTTGGTTGTCTTCAAAAGAAGGGCTGTTGTCTTTTAAATGCAGAGGGACTGCTGAATTTATTCCCCGATGGGTTTGTTCTTCTTCTTTTTAGAATTTTTCCCCTCACCCCCGGGTGTATCATGATTCATATTCTCCAATGGGACACATCCATAGCTAAGAGTCATCAATCACGCAGTTAGATGTTTGCCCGGCAGAAACTTCAATCACTGAGTTACTATCTTTGAAAACATTTATGGAATGCACGTTCAATTTGAAAGCTGCCGCACTTCTGCTCCCTCCCTTTCTGTTAAAAAACACCATAGAAATATTTTAGGAGTTGACCCAATCAGCCACGGAACCCGCCTTCCTAACTCTTGGACTTCTTTGGGCTGTCCCTCTTGTAGGTCTGCCTCGACTACCCCTTCGGGGTCTCCGAAGACCTCTCAGCAAAATGTCTACAACCCACCCGATGTCTCTACTTGGAATCCTTTTGACGACGACAACTTCTCCAAGCTGACGGCAGAGGAGCTGCTGAATAAGGACTTTGCAAAACTGAGCGATGGTGAGTTTGGAGGTCGGTGCAGAAGCTGGACCAGAGATGGTGTTGTGGTTCGCCGGCAGCCGGCAGAGGTATCAGACAGTGAGGACGAAAGGGAACCGGTCAGGGAGTCTGGAGAGGACTTGGACAGGGGTCCTGCATCCGATGCAGCGATGGGGCCAGGACCACCTGGGAGTGGGGTGCTGCCTCCGGAGCCTCTGGAGTCTGGTAGCAGCGAGGCAGAAGAACAAGGGGAGCCTGTTCCCAGTGCACGTGTGCACAGAGCTGCCGGAAGGCGAGAGCAGCTGAGACAAAAGAGGCGACTTGGGAGTAAGGCTGGGAGGTGATTGCCCCTCCCATAAGGGATACAAGTCAGCCCTCAATGACGAAGAGCTTTGCAGGAAGCAAAGCAGTTCAGTAACTCTGTACTCTGGGCGTGTTTTGCTGGGATTTTGGGTTGCTTTATTTTAGCCTTAATTGGACTTCTGTTTCGTGGCAGCATTCGACAGCACTGAAAAGAGGTTTTACTTTCAAATTCAGTTGGTGTTTGATTAAGTTTGACAAAGTTTGGGGTCAGGACAGTTGGCAGCTTAAAGACGGCAGGCGAGGTGACACCTTTTTACTGGCTCTTAGTTCACCACTTTGTTTCCACTGCCCCAGTTTTTCCTACCTGGCGCTCACCAAAGCGTCCCTCTGGGTCTCCATGTTCCTCCGATGGAGAAAGAGAAGGAGGGAGGAGCGTGTGTTCCTGCGGGACGTCCCTTGCAGAGCTCCGCTTGCTCCTTCCGTAACTCCTTCTCTGGCATCTGGCTCCCTTCTGGGCCTCCTGAAACTTCTTCATCTGGCTCAGCCAGGAGGGGGACACAATGTGTGTGGGGGGGTAGAACTCAGTTTCATTGCATCGTGGTTGTGTTTAACCTCGGGGGGCGGGATAGGCGTGGCCAGGGTGGGCCAGTACTTCTGCTCTACTTCCTGTGCTTAATTGGGGTAACTGCCGAAATCCTGACAGCTTCACTGTTTCCTGGCTGGCCCCGTGGGCCGCATTTAAGCAATCCATGGACCAGATCCGGCCCACAGGCCTTGAGTTCGACACCTTCCCTGGCATACAACAAGCAGTCAGTAGCTGGCAGCCGCTTTTAGCGTGGGCTGCCCGCCCTTGGCACTTCCTTTTTGCTTTCCTCCGCCTTCCCTCTCTGGAACGCTCGCACAGAATTCCTGCGGGTTGTCCTGTTCTCTCCGTCCCTCGTCTCCACGTCGTTGTACCCACCTGCAAGTGGCGGGTACCATTTAACGACCGGTCCCTTTGAATTCCAGGTAAGCCTCCTGAGAAACTTGACAGCTCAACGGAGAACCTGATCCCAGGTTTTCAGGCCGCTCCTTCCGCAGCGCAGCCGGACGCATTCGGCTCTTCTCCTCTTGCACCCATATCAGGTACGTTGTGGGGCAGCCAGAAAGGATTGGAGACTCATCATTGGTTTGGGTCTGTCGGGCTGAGCACAACTTAAGAACTGTGCCATTCGGTGAAAGAAGGTGGCAGGAGAAATAAGCTTTCATAGATCTCCAAGGCCCGTTGACATGACTTTGCTGTAATTGGTCCTATCTCACCATGCTGGCCAAAAATGATGTGAACTGCAGTCCCGTCACTGCAGATGCCAGCTGGGGAAAGGCGGATATTGAATCCGTGGCTTTCCAGATGTTGCTGCACAGCTCCCCCTAGCCTAAGCCAACCTAGTTAATGAATAAAATACTGGGAGGTCTGTCTTGTTGGCATGTAGGAGGCGCCCAAGTTTTCCCCATCTTGAGCTAGACCAAGAAAGTGAAACGCGATGGATTGATCTCTGTTGCGAGATGCAACGTTACCAATTAAAAGATCAACCATGTGCCAACTTTCAGATCCACGGAGAAGAATTGTGAGATGTGCTTGGCCACACATTTTGCAACATGACAGCCATCTAGTGCCCCAGCGGTGGGTACTAGGGGAACATTCGCTCAGGGGTGTCCAACCTTGGCAACTGTAAGAATTGTGGACTTCAACTCCCAGAATTCCACCAGCTGATGTCCACAAGTCTCAAAATTGGTCAAAGTTAGATGCCCCGTTTTAGCTCAGGGGTCTCCAACCTTGGCAACTTTAAGTCTTGTGGATTCTGGGAGTTGAAGTCCGCAAGTCTTAAAGTTGCCAAGATTGGAGATCCCTCTAATTTAGCTAACACAGGAGATAGCAGCTGATTCTTGAGAGAGTGGACGGACAGACGGACAGAATGTCATTTTGCTTCTATACAAGTCAGAACTCTGGATTTTAAGAACTCTCTAAACTCCTGAGATACTGATCATTTTAGGCGTGCCTCTTCCCTGTGTCTTCCTAGCTTCCTTCTGAGGCCGGTGCGCTTGTTATCATGCTGTCAATCCAAAAGGAAAGGTTACTGTGACCCGGCCTGGCACCCTTCGTGCTCTCGGTCTCTTTCAGCTCCTCCTGTGCTTTCTTTTGTGGGTATATTGTATGTGTTGAGATGATACACTTCAATGAAGTTAATTTGGGCTAATGTAAAGAATGTTTCTCTTTGCGTGGGTGCTACACCCTCATTCTCCACAGGTGTGATGCAGCTTTCTTTTGCTTTTTTATGTCAATCCATTTGGATATCTAGAAATCTTTAAAAAATCTAGACACATATATATAGTGACTCCTATATTAATCCTGGATGATGCAAAATGTTGAGATGAGAAGCCGAGTCTTATTTTGTGGATTATGAAAATAATTTCACAAATGATAGTTTAAGCTATCTAGGGAAAAAGGATATTAGAAAGGCCTTGAACAAATCCAGTTTTTCTCTGCTATCTTCTATTTTTCTTGACTCCTTCCTTCCTTCCTTCCTTCCTTCCTTCCTTCCTTCCTTCCTTCC